TTTGCTCCAGCATTCGCACCGGCTTAGGTGGCTCAGGGCATCCATTAGTCACTGTTGTGCTTCTGACTGGGAGGTCCTAGGGCTAGAGACCGGCCGTAGGATTTTCGTCGCTAGCTACATAGCTAGGTCCAATTTAGCTTCTGTCTGGGGGTGAATTCTAGCGGCCAGCTGCTTTGATCGGCAGTTTTCCGTGTTTTCTCCGATCAACACCAGGTGAATGCCGGAGCAGTACTCTAACAAACGAGTCACGGACCACGCGCGGTCCATCCTTCTCCTTCCTTGCCCTATCTTCATCCCTTACTTACACGCATGCACGCACTACACTACGACACAAGACGGGAGACCGGTCGGGAGCTTAGAGCTTGCCCTGACCCGGGCGACGCCCTCTGGTGCGAGATACATGGCTGGAGTGCACCTCGGAGACCGATGTAGGTCGGCGCCGGATCTCACTATCCAGCGGGAGAAGATGACCGCCACCACCTGCAGTAAAAGCATGCACCACACTTACGAGACTCTTGGCTTTGCTGCACTAATGATGCCCGGAGTTACTAATCAACCACCCCGGCATCCGTCTAGAATTAATCACTGTTAACGATTCATAGGAGACGGCTTCTAGACTCTCGCCAGGCAGTGGCTTCATCCAACCCACGACTTGGTTGCTGTCGAAAACTCCTCACCATCATCGGGACAAGGTTCACCTAGTGCATCCAGTCCCATGGAGCTTCCGTTGTAAATCGAACCATACACTATCGAACCTGATAGAAAATGAAAATTAGATTCTGTAAACTTTTTGATTAAAAGAGGATATTATGTAAGGCTACAGTAATAACCACGGACACGTAACTCTTGTCTTTGCTTTATAATGGTAAGTTTTGTTAATAAGTATTAACAGTGATTCTAATTTAATGATTCGTAGAGAATTTCAGAAATTTGGTTTAAAAGGTTCGATTCATTAATATTTAAATTTAAGGAAAACCATCGCGGCGTGCTCTTTGCCTGACATAAAATAAGTTTAGGGGTATTCAACCCAGGGGTGGATCCAGCCAATCATTTGGGGGAGGAGGGCATCATAGATTTTTGTTAAATAATAATCAAATGTTTCATTATATTGTATATAATTTTTGTTGTGTATATTTGATACTATATAATGTTATTTTCTGATTACATAATTCCAACACAAATATTTAAATCAATCAAGGCCCTCTTTGGGGGTGAGGCATGGCCCCCATGCTCCCTCCTGGATCCCGCAGTGGTTCAACGTCTGGTACGATATGGGTCGAGACGGCAGTGCCCATGTCATAACAAACAAAATATTAATTTAAATTGTTTGAGAAACACACCAATGATATTTGAATCCGTGTGAATGTAAAACAGTATATTTTAGTAGTATACTTTTAGATTTTTCTAATCACATGGAATACTTTTAGGTGGGAATATTGCGAATAACTATTTTTTATATTGTATTCCAGACACGAACATTTTCAAATATAGAAATTCAACAAAATCTTCGAAACACTGAAGGATAAATGATTACTTTCCATACTTAGTTCCTATATTAACACAACCAAATTTTCGTTTATTTCAAAAATTTCGAAGTTAGTGTAAGTTCTAGGCGATTTCTCAATTGTGGACAATTTCCAATTTTATGTTAATAGAAAGAATAACTATTAGCTAAGGACATATTTTACTATAATATATTTTCATGAGCATACTTTTCCTGCGCCTTTCACATCAACTCAATGGCTCAATGCCAAAGGTTACTCTGAGTACTTCTGCGCAATAGCTGCTCGCTAGGGAGTACAATGGCAAATATTCCGCCAGCATCGCGCCACGCGCTACGATTTTTCATCACCCCTGCCTGAGGCAACCAATTAAAGCTTTAGACGCGCGCTCGAGCGGCCGAAAGGTAAATCCTTCCATGACGGCGCGGCGGAGAGAGCGCGGGGCTGGCCGGGAGGGGGCGGTGGCGGCGGAGCGGACACCCCAGGGACACTGGCTCCCGTGGTGGTGGCGGTGTGGGGAGGGAGGGCGAGGACGGGCGGGGAGGACACTCGCGGGCTCGGCGGCGATGGTGGCGCGGGCCTCTTGGAAAATTCACGACGCGATCCGGCCTCACGGCGTGTCCGGCAATTCGGTGGAGGTAGCGACGGCAGCGCGGCCGGTGAGCGGGCTGGCGCGGCGGCGGCGGCGGCCCGGGGGAATGGTGAGAGAGAAAGCTTGCGAATGTGATGAACGAACGTTGCGATGACAGCGAAGGTGGCAATGGCTGTTGAGTGCACGCAGATGTGATGATGGGAACGAATAGAAGAGGAAAGCCAAAGCTGCGAAACTAAGCACTAGATACGCAATGGAAATATTTGAAACGGGAGATATGACTCAGGGCATCAACTGATGTCCCTGCAGTGTCTCTGACCGGAAGGTCCTAGATTCGAGTCCTGGCGGTAGAAGTATTTTTTAGACTAGTTTGTCGGCTAGATCGAATTCAGTCGCAGTCTGGAGGAGAATTCTAGCAACCGGCGTAATACCCCAACAAACTGGCCACGGAACGCACGCGTTTCCTTCCTTTTCCTATCTCCATTCCTTACTTACACACACACTATCACTATTGTCGGGATATCGATCAAGATCTCTTAGGTCTTGTCCCGGTTGGGACGATGATCCGCTGTTGGGAGATACCTGGTTGTGGAAAATCCTCTCAAGCCGACGTAGGTCGGAAAATATGACCTTAGCAGTTGTCGCACCAAGAACTACTCAATTTTGTAACGATACACTAATTGATCTTGTAACGATTACATAAGATTTTTGTACAAGTTAAATCTACTAAGTGTTCTGCAACCCGCAAAAATATTTGCTTATGTTGGGATTCAAACTCAGGTTCTTAATTAAGTGAGAAATTAGGAAAACACTCACATTTGGAAACAAATTGTACATGGCCTTATTTAAAGTTCTATTTCTGAAGAATAGATTTATTTTAGAAAAAGAACACTATCTTCAGTTTTGTAGTTGTACGAAAACGCTGAAAATAACTTTCGCAATTTTCGAAAACGTAGAAAATCCATCGAAACGCACATCAGTGCCATTTTTGTAAATGTACTGCTCTAATTTTTTTTTAAATAAAAAAGGAAAATTTGGAGTTACTTTTAAAAAAAATTGAAAAGTGTAGGGACTTGATGTAAAGTTCAAGGGTCCGTTTTTAGTTCAAGGGTCCGCACCATCAGCCAGATCAATTGGAATACATCAATTTTGGTGAAAAGTTGCCTAATCTTTAGCCACTGATGTTCGAAGACGGATGGGCAGACGTTTTGCCGTAAACCAATTTTTCTTTGTCAACCACCCACGAAACGAGAATTCCGACTACAAAACGTGTTAGAGGATGTTATTACTACATGTAGGAACCCAAATTATACACTTTTTCGGTATCATGAATCGTTTTGATCTCGTGGACAATACGATTTTTCCGTCTAAAAATCACCGTTTTTCGCATTACCTAACTTTCTCTAAGTAGTATGTGAGAAAGTAAAAGTAACTTAGAGCTAAATACAATAGTTAACGGAACAATTAGGCGTCTTATTTCTCAAAATTCAGCTCTGACAAAACGTTTAAAAATGCATGAGTGGCCTACAGCAGTAAAAATGCTGTTGAACAAAACAAATTTTTTTAATTATCCCTCTGGTTAGGATCAACAAATTAAACACTCTTGTATATTACAATAAATTTAATATTCAACAACAATATTCTTGAACGTTGCAATAATTATGGTTGCATTCACTGTTTCCTTACAGGAAATTTAAAGAAAACTTGTGCTACTACAGAATGGCACAGTTCAAAACATTTTCTCCAAAATTAATATTCTCTCGTCGTGAATTTGAAACTGATATATTGATTTTTGAGGGTACTTTTCATGAAGCCTAAAACTCATTTGATATTTTTTTCAAAAATGGCTTCAATTTTTTATCAAACTTTGTCCTTTGATAGCGTAAAGGACGCTTCAAAAATTGTGCATATCTTATTTTCGTTGGAGTCTCCGTGTTTTAGAAAATTGCAAACATTTACAATTTTTTTTGCGTCTTCCTTAAACTACAATATTGAAGATAGATATATTTTCCTTAACGTGGATTTCACGAAGAGACTAAATTATTTAAAAAGCAAAAACAAGTTTTTTCTTAAACTTTTATTAGGGATAGTGTTAAATGTACAAAATATGACAAATGCCATTTCCTCTATTCTTTTGTTGTTGTTTTTCCAAAAAAATGTACCTTTTTTGACTTGCATCTCATATTAATATTTAGATTAGTGGCGATGTGTTCACATTATAGCATTCATGGACATGTGTGCTTCAAATGATGGCTTAAAAAGTTTCTCGGAAAACTCAAAAGCTTTCTGTGAAAGAGCGCTCAAATTTCCACATTTTCAGAAATGCTCAAATGCCATTTTCTCAGAAATTGATTCAAATTTGTAGTACGGATTATACACTAAATGCTCTGTTTATGTTCTTAAGTAATAACTCGGTTTTTCCATTAGGAAACAGAAATATTGAGATTTTTTTATTTTTTAAAATTTTCTTTGGAAAGTGATAGATGGCAGCTGGCAAAAAGATGGGGCAAGACCATGAAGCTAGCCCAGACCAAAGAAATTAGAAAACTAATTAGTATGACAAAGGCTGAACCCTTCTGTAGCACCACGAGTTAGATAAAAACTAACAGAACCCGACAGACAATGTTCTGCCCTTCATCTCCTTTTCTCTCTCTCATTGCCATAAAGATCTCATTATGCAGATTATGGTGTGAGAAACGTTTCTTCAAGGCCTTTGGCTACAAAATTTTAGTATTTAATGCCCTAGAACGTTTTGTTTTGGAGTTAGTTATCGATATACAGACAAAAAAATTTGCCGCGGGTTGCGGTTTGTATTTGACATGAATATTTAGTGTTTTATTTTGTTCTTTTTCTCGTACACTTTTCTGAAACTAATAGTTATTCTGCTATTTAGGGCAGAGATGAATCCAACAAAACAGAGATAATTAAAACTGGTCCTGGTGTTCTCCCTCTTTCTCTCTCTCTCAAAAATAATATATTGCAGAGATACACAAGAGTATTTTGTTTGCTCTTGAGCAATGTATATGCTATTTTTGGAAAGCATTTTGTAGTGTTGTTCAGAAGCATTTTTACAGGCAACTATTTGTATTGTAAAGATGTAAAAGGCAAAAGATGTAATACATTGCTGTTATATGATTACATTTTTAATTTATAAATTTATGTCATGTTTTAACTTAAATGCTACATGTTCACATTCGTGTAATAAAATGAACAAAATATAATATTAATCCATTTCTCTACTTGCAATTGTTTTAATAACTTTTTTAAATTTAAAATTAAATAATACTAATTAATATCAAATTTTAATTTTGTTAAAAGCAATTTGCCATGTTTATAATTTATATTAACATCTTGGAAGTGTGTGCATGCAAATGAATGTGTGATGTCAAATGTCACTGACATGCACCGATTGATGCAAAGCACATTATTGGCCATATAGACATTAAAAAGTTCAGTTTTTCTCAGATTATTATTTTGATCACGATTTTACGTAATCTTAACAATTTAACAATATATGAAATGATTTACGTAATCTTAACATAACATAGAATGGTCCAGTCAGCTGGCCTTGTGGGACAGGAGCCGGTGGCACATGTGCAGACGCTAAAGCCGTGTATTTGAAATCAATGTAATGCATGAAGTTCTCAGTCGTGTTGTAGCAGTTTGGCATTTCCAGCCTCTGGGGTATCACATTAACACCTTCATTCTTCCTTGCCAATGATCAGAAACAGTGTGATCTGTGTGCATAATTAAACCCACTACATACAAAACAAGCACTGAACGAGCCACAAGTTACCAAGGACATTTATAATAGTGCAGTATCAAAATCGGCCTGTGGATTATCTGGAAATGGTATGGAGGGAGCACAAGATCTTTATTTAGCATTGTCACGAAGAGAGCAATACTTATTGTGGAAGGCCTTGATAGGTTAGTCAGTCACTGATAAATAGCAGCTGGGAAGGGTCTAAGACAAAACCAAAACGGTAGTTCTAACTAAAAAGAAAGAACAGAAATAAATAGTATGAGAAATTGTGCCACTTTGAAGAACCACTATTATTAAGTTCACTTATTTTTCCACTCCCCCCTTCACCATCGTTATATTTTATTATTGTTCATAGTTAAATTAATTACAATTTCTGCGGAATATTAAATAAATTCTTATTATATTTATTATTCTTTCTTTCACATTTTCTAATTTGAATGCTATATAATTAATGGCATTTTACTGTTAGTACTTTTTATTTCACCTTATACCAAAAGGAGTTATTTAATTTATTCCGAAGAAAATAGCACAAAGGCTACTGGTTAAGATTAGTAGGTATCACGATTCCAAAAGTATAAGTAATACAGTACAAAAGGTTTTCATTACATTCATTTTTACCACAAACCCACTGCCCCTCAACCATTCACATCAAACCAACTTCTATGATTAGTTATATTCTGATGTCCTGCAACTCCTTCGAACGTAAAGCCAAAAGGAAAAATACTTCCAACATTTCTGTCAACCTGTATCAAATGTAATAGTTAAATAATTTTATAGAAGCTACATACAAACTATATCAACAATCTCATTTGCAATTATAAATTCAAACTTGATTCAGAAAAGGTATGTCCAAAATTTGACTGTTTAAAAAAGAGGGTCTAAAAATTATGAAATAAGCACAGAAAAGTAAACAAAAAACAATCAATTATACATCACTGAAACCAAGGCCAGGTTTAATCCTCCCCAGCAAACAACATTACATAATGGTTTTTCTTAATTTTGTATAGAAACAAAAAAAGCCTTTTAATATTCCAATTAAATATGTTATAAATAACCATAAATCAATAAATAAAAAATTTCTAATTATATAGAAGAAAAAATTCTTTATATGAAAACACAAAATTTGTTGGACATGACTCCTTTAGATTTACTCCACTGACATCTGTACATATAAAAGCTTCTATTAATATTAAAAGAATTTCAATGGACAATTGTCTAAATTCTGTGGGTGCTCCTAGTAAATACAAATATATTTTGGAAGTTTTCTTGCCTTCTCCATACAGTCAAGGATGTATCTTAAATTTCTTATTAATTTCTGCCTTAGGACTGAATTCATATTTACTAAGTCAATTAAGCAAAAAATGGGAAGGTGGAAAATAAAGTATGATAGTAAGGAAATTGCATACTTTAGGCATTTACATACATTTTACTCTTTGCAAGTTGTATGTACATATAATACTTGAATACAGTAATTTCAGAATTTCCAATGACACAGAAAAGGAAATCAAATATTTTCATATTTTCTGGAAAACCCTCGACACTCATGAGCATTTTCAATCACACAACACACATCCACTTTAATACATTATGCTATGTAACACTTTTTAACTAAAACATTGGGTTTCAATGACGAAATAATACATCAATGAAAAAATATGAATTTTTACAATTCTATGTACGAAAATAGCAATCAGAGGCATACATTTCTCATTCACACATTAATGATATTACCAACAATATTATCATGGAATGTTCCAAAAAGGAAAAAAGTTAAAAAAAAATAAAATAAAAAGGATAATTATTTGTAATTTTATCTAACAAAGTTACAGTCAACGTCTGAATGAAAATATCAGTGCAAGGGTAGTATCCAAAACTCTCAAATATTTTTCTCATAAGTGTATTTATGTACTTTTCCACTACATGTTCCAGGTTTTGTGCTAAATTAGTTTTCATAAATAGATATTATGCATATACTATCTTGAGTGGTATTTTTAATTTTCTGTTTCTTTTTCAACAACAAAGTGCAGATACCATAATTATCAATACATACATCTACACTACAGCACATAAGCCAATGCAAACAAAAAAAATATTACAAATAATTAGGAAACATTACCTAACAACATTCATACATCACAAATGTATTGCAAGTATCCACAAAGTCATTCTAAAGCCTTATGATTCTTTTGGCGACTCAACTGTTCCATCTTTTAAATATTGTCTCCATTATTTTAAAATTAACATTTGTAACGATACTTGTATTCAGTATAATTTTATCATACAGTTTTTACCATTAAATTCACTCAACATAGAGCTTCCTTTCATAATATATATATATATTTATATGTTGTAGATAACTATATAATATTTATACAACAAGGTTTGCCCGATAATTTTTTGCATGTACGATTTCTGTGGACCACAAACCTAGCTATTTTACGTTCCATGAAGGACAAGGGTCACGAGCACTCTTTACAACACAAGGCACAGGCACCTATAGCCCTCTCAAGTCCTAGCACACAAAGCAACCACACGCAGCTCTTCCTACTGCATACATAGTGCCTAGCGCTCACAGGAATATATACATGCATACAGAACAAACAAAGCAGAGGCCATCATTTCACCTCACTTCATATTGCTGTGTGCCTTACCAGGACCAGGTATCATCGATTGATTGGAAAGTAATCTACACATCACAGGTCTAAGTTTCACTCTGACCCTACATAACAAGATGTAAAATCTACATCTCTTCTGTTATTACTGCTACAAACTGCTCTGAAAGAGACCTAACACTGCACAAGAACATACCATAGAATTCGCTGTTCAGAGCCCGATTTCCTTCAAACCAAATAGACAGTCAAATAGTTCCAAGCAAGCTCAACTGAACAGTCATTCAACCACATGCAACAAAATTATACAACTAAAATGTACAACTGAACATTTTGAGGATGTTTATGGGTATATAATATTCCTCACAGCCATTTCCTATTAACTGAAAAAAACAAAACAAAAACAAACTCTTGAATAAAAGTCATACACACGCACACTTATGAAAGCTTTGAACACAATACTGCAAATTATGATTATGGACCTGCAGCAGAAAGAACAAATCACAGTTTTAAGTTTAAACAATATCTAGTCAAGAAATTTATGATTATGCAAAATGTTAATTACAAAGGTACAAATAAAATTTACATCTCCATGCAGAACACATACTCTCAAGGAAACTGATATTGTAGAAAATATTGTCTATCATTTGTAACAATATAATAGAGTACATTTCTTCCTTTTTTTAAACAAAAGGCAATGATTTCCAGTAGTGAAGAAATTGTTCTCAATTTTATACACTTTTTTAATTATAATATTTTGATGTGTACAATAGAACAATTCTTTAAGTATTTGTCATTTCTCCCTCTGCCCCAAACAGACTACATCAACTGTACACAGGTACCTAATTTACTTAATACAACAAGATAAAGTTTATCAGTTCTATAGAGAACTTTTGACCATTCGACTGCACAAAAATATCAACAGCTACAATGAACGGTTATGAACAGCAATACAGTGATTATTTTTACTTCTCACAGCAAGGATGATAACAACAATAGTTCCCAATCTGTGACAGACTACAGGCTTTACAACTGCTATCCTGCTCAGAGAGACCTGTAAAGGATACATTGGTCATGCATTGCAATGATAAGTTAGTTTGCTCTGAGCAGACTGCTCATGTCTAAAAACAGCAAGAGACTTCCATTGTTTTTACATGGGAAAATTTTGCAGTAACCTACACATGAGCAATAAAAGTAACTAATTCCACAACACAGACCAACATTTCAAACTGTCACTTGATGAACTCCCATTTCACATTTCTATCAACAAGGCAGTCTCCCACACCACAATCCATTCAAAAACAATCATACATTGATATGATTCAAAAATATTTCCTATTTCCAACAAATAAAAATATTCAACAGCTTGCATCAATAAATATATAGTCTTTCGAAACAAGTGAACTAATGTCTTCAAATTATAACCAATTCTTTACCTCCACTACTCAGTCATGGCCTCTTGTCAATAACAATGACAAAGAAAATTTCCCTGCTTACCTCCTTCAATTTGTGAATATATCATGTACACATAATATCTATTGAGTTGAGTAAGCACTAAGGGCCATAAAAAAACTAAATGAAACCAAGAAAGAAACCAAATTTACATCTTCCTTCATTTTCACAATCATCTAACAGTTCCATCAAGTTTCCAGAGCTCTTAGAATGTTACAGGGTTTTTCCATTTTCTTCACAGGACTTTGGGAAAACTACCAGAGGGTGAAGCCTGAGTGAAGAAACTTGCTGATGCAATTCACTTCACGTTTTGTGTCTATGATGGCTTTGAGGTCTTGGAAGGTCTTCATACATTATATACAACACAGGACACCTCAATTCCAATGTAATTCCTGAAACAATGATTATTGTCATTGTGAAAATGAAAGTGTTATCCATATTCAGCTCACTCAATATTTTAAAAATGCATTCAAACCACAGCATATAGTACAAATAAAAGTATTCCAGAATCACAAAAACATTCAAGGCCAGTAAACAAATTAATACAGCTGCTCATCAAAAAATTGTAATTTTGATATTGCATACTTTTTTAATTTTATTGAAATTTTAATGATGTTAAAACTCACCTAATGTGAATCTTAACGTGTAGTCTTAACATTAGTAAGACTAGGAATTTTTTGATGTGATTGGTCAATTATTTCATAGTCTAGTATAGTTGTCCACGTAAATCTAAACAATACTTGATACCTCCTGCAATGTTTGCTTAAAACGTGCATATATCTTAGCTTATTTTGCAGAAATTAAACAAGATTGAAAGTTATTGGCCATAAAAGTTTTCTGAAAAGTTGTTATTGCCAATCAGATCTCTTTGCAATATTTTGAGAGTAGCAAAATGAAAAAAGATTATGGCAGAAAAACTCTTTGAATTTTGTTGTAAAACAGTTTTGCTGTATCAAAAGATGTTAAACGTCATGATTGGAAGTCACTTTGCCCCAAATGAAAGGCAATTAAGAATGATAATTTCTTCAAATTTCTACTTTAATATTCACAACTATAACAGAGCTAGTAACTGAAAGAAATACGAAATAAAAATCGAAGTTCCTTCGCATGAAAGCAAAGATCGCAGCCTTGTCAGTCACAGACATCATTTTCACATACTACTAGTGGATTGGATGGCCACATTTGTTTCCTTCACATTAGCTACTCTAATCTTTTTCATTTCGAAAGCTCTTTATTGAACAATTTATATATACCTGGGCTTAATCCTTTCATAGAGCCCCAAAAGGGTCCAAAGGTGGTTGCTGAGGTGACTGACCCGGTGCTGGGCCCCCGACTCCAGGTATCCGTGGACCAGCCATCATTGCCGCTCCAGCTGGTACAGCACCAGCCATCATGCCTGGCATGGGGGCACCTACTGCTCCAGGAGCCATTGGGCGCATTCCAGCCATTCCCTGGAATGGAAAATAGTAATGAATTCAATTGCAGTCATACCTACCATGTAGACATCTAATACAGTCATAATTTCCTTATTTGAGTTACCACAATTCAGGTAGAAGAATTACTCATTTCTAACTTGAAAAAAATTTCTCGCACTAATATCTAATTCTGTATAGGTTTTAGTTATAGGTTGTTGTTAACCTTGTTTAACTGGACGTTGCTTTATACATGTTATATCACACATTAATTACTGGTTTCAAAGAATACGTTAGCAAATTAACTGCAATAACATACCTTAAAATGCAGGATTGAAAAATGCTAAATATGTATTTAAAGATCCTTTAAAAATGCAGCCTGAATTTGTACTGCACCAATTATTTGTGATGGAAAATGAAGAGTGCACATTTTTACAATATCATTAATGTAAACTTTCCAACATGCAATCTAACATATTTGCAGTTCTTTTTTGACCACAGTGCATCTGCTAATTTTTTTAAACGCTGGCCTTTTAAGTCAAGTTGCAAGAAATAGCATAGAAAATAATTTTCAAATTAATAAGGTTTGTTCTGATTATACACTAAAATACTAGCTGAGGTGGCCCTGAAGTATAATTCTTAAACCAGATTATTAGTAAAATTCTCTCCTAACTAATTGAAACAGTTGAACACATTGAAGAACTTTTAATTTTGAAAGATCATACAAAATTTTCTCAAAACAATATTTTAGTTCATCATGAAGGCAAAGCACTAGAATATTAGATCATTGAAGTAAATATCATATGATTTGCAAATATCGCAAAAATGCATCTTGTATCAGTGCTAACACTTGAATTAGTATTTTTATTTCTTTCTTTCCCTTCTCCAGCCAAATATCACCAGATTATATTTAATTTGCATACTAGACTTTTGAGAAGAAATTTGTCTAACAAGTAAATAACTAAAATTTTTCTTCCAGTCAGCTATTTATTCTGAAAATAGGAAGTTTGACAAACACTATCCACTGAACAAACACAGAAAATACCACTTATACAAAATGCACACAAAAGGCAAAATGCTGTTATTTTCAATTATCAAATGCTTCTAAGGAAAAAGCTGAGCAGCCAAGGAGAGCTTTCGGTATACTTACCAGGGGGGTTGAAGTTGGGAACTGGACAGTTACATTCATGGCCATGCCCTGTCCCTGAAATGGCAGCACGGTCACCACTGAGAAGCATGCACTGCTATTGACGTGCGAGAAGGTGCAGCTCTCATTTGCAGTGCACACTAGTCTACTTAACTATAAAACTAAAAGAATAAGTAAGTGAAATTTGCTCCAGAATTCATGAACCAAAAGAATCAAAATGTGAAGTTGAACTTGAACTTTAACACCAATATCAATCTATACATCTTTTACTTAGGAATCAATGCTTTAGGAACACAAAATTCATCGATTTTAAATAGATCTCTCACAAAAACGTAAGGGGTCTTTGACAGGTCTTTCTGGAATAAAATATTTGAAAACATGAAACTATACAATGGAGACTTTGAAATACCAGTAAACTATAACTCTCCAAACAATGCAAACTGGGTTCAAGCTCAACTATCATTTTGAGAGAGTTTTTCACTTTTACACATCAAGCAAAATAACCTAACTACTCAGCATACTTTTTTTTACATCATGTTGCAAAAATACTTTGGACAATATTTACAAGAGTTAGGATTTTAAGAAATATTAAACTAAATCTATTAGAGCCCTCTATACCAGAATCTTAAGCTGCTTCATGTTTACTGTATCCTTTTTAATATCCTTCACCACCGTGAATTCAAATGGAAGGTTAATATTTACACATCATCTATCAAGTATTTTTAAAATTGCAAAAGAACACAAAAATGCAACACAAAATTAAAACAAATACTACTGTTCCTAAAGGTAGAAATGCTAAATTTTCAGTTTTAAGCATTCTTCATTAACTACAAACTGAATATTCAGGCCAAGTGCAAGAAATAACAGGCAGAAAAAATCAATTCCAATTCTCACCATGGGACGGTACCCTGCTCCAGTTGTAGCAGCCATAGGCTGTGGTGTCCATCCCGCTGCACCTGGTTTAGCTGCATTCTTGGGAGAGTTCCACTGGACACCTCTGTGCATCACAAACAATTATAATTCCACTGTTCAATACCAATTTCAATCATCTTCATGATGTATACAAAATAAAAGGAATCAATCAACTATTGAACTCCTTCCCTTACCACACTATCTTCTATTAGTATGGACGCTTAGAGCATTGCACACATCTTAGAGATAATGTACCTCACATTAAACAAACTTAGAAACAACTGTTGTTCTAGAAAAGGACCTTTTGTTCAAACAAATTGTACCTAGTCATTAACACCCTTATTTCACAATAAAAAAAACTATGTACACACAATCACTACTTTCAGAAGATTACTTTTACAGACACATGAATGTCCAGAAAATGCTATTACGAGTGATATTTAATACTTCTTACTTCGGAAGGAGAGGGCAAGCTCTAAGTAAAAGATTTGTTAATCGAGAACAATGACAACACTGTTAAATAACTTACTTGACAGCAGCTTGTCCACCTTTGTTGATGGTCAGATTTTGCGCCAGCGAGGCAAGACTGCTATCGAGGTCCCCAGTGAGCACCTTGCCTGAGGCAGGACCATCAGTCACAGCACCAGCGGGTTGCATAAGCCCTCCGCCAACACCTGCTGTAACCGGGCCAGTACTGGTGTGGAGAGGTTGAACAGGCGCCAGTATGTCTCCCAAAGCATCAAAACCTGATGTATGCAGCAGGCAGGCAGATAGGCAGGCAGGAATGCAGGCAAATAACAAAAGAAGAAACCAGCACCGTCACCACTACAGCATCATGCGAGAAATAGCGTTTTCAAATAAGAATTCCCTCAGTTTTCATGCCAACATTAAAATATTTATCTCATCTGAAGCAAATCTTTAATAATATATGAAAGGCTGTTGAATATTAATCTTATCAACTATAATAATCTCGTTCTTATCACTCCTATTCATAGTAAATTAACATTACAACAACAACAACAACAACAAAAAAAAAAAAAATAATGAAGTAGTGCAATTATTCTCTCTGACAGATTGCGACAATAAAAAATGAATTACCTTAAAAAAAATCATAAAAATAAAATAATTTCTTCATAAATCATGCTAAATATTAACTTTAATATTTTTACTGTATTTAAAACTAGAGTCTCCGATCTCTCATTTTTTATATCAGTTTCTAAGATAAGCAATTGGGAAGAATGTAAAACTTCTAGAAAATATTTGTTAAAAACATAAGAAAAACAAGCATTAATAAGATAAGTACATTGTGTTTTTTTGTTCACAAAAGAAATGATCATTAGTCAAAACTTCAAAATTTCCAGAATAAAATGTAATTGGCGAAGTGAAGGAAAGTTAAAAATGCAATAAATATCTTTGAGAAGTTTCATTACTATTTGTAAGCAACATTACTAAAGAATAAATATATTAGAATATCAGCTACTTTCTCACACAGGAAAGCATCTTATTGACAATGCATTCATGCTCAATGCTCTTCAAGACTACAACCAAACTCTCAGAAAAATGGCATATTGTTAAAGCAGTATCATGCATCAAGCATTTTCTTAGTAATCACAATTAACATTCATTTTTATATAAGCAGTTCCCGAATAAAGGGCAAAATTTATATAACACAGTAATTTAATTTTTTTTCCAATTTGTAAGCACTCTTTTCTAAAACAAATTCACATAGCCAAACATTAAAAATTGTGCTAATTCTTAGGCATTGACACCAAAAATTGAAGTTTTAGGAAGACAACAAAGACATAACATGCCATGCTGTGCATCTCGTATTCGAACTTCAACTACTTTCATGAGACCTTTTTTCTGACCAAAATGTCAGTTAATGCAAAAATGATTTTTACAATGAGGGATCATAACAATTCACATGAACAATGCACAGTAGAAATCTTGCAAAATCTAATCTATACTGCACTAAATTGTAAAGAATTTCCAAACAATTTATTCAAAAATATTTTTACTGCAATGGGGTTACATCAATGTTTAAGAAATGAATTAATATATATATATATTATATATATATATATATATATATATATATATATATATATATATAATATATATATATATACTATATATAATATTTAACGCATGGCTTAAACATTGAACACATGAAATTCTATTTGACATGTAGTTTTTTAACCTTGATAATACTGAAAATACATGCACGAGCAAAGCAGAAAAATGACCACATTAATAATGGTGAAGACAAGAAGATGGAAAACACTTTCCCATGCCAGAAATATCGAATAAAGTGGCTTTGTTATCACGAATTCGCAGAAATGCAAATAAATGCACAATGAAGTATTTCAGAGTATGTCAGCAAAAAGGTAAGCCAGGTGTTGATCCATTTCAAAGGCAATTTAGTTCAGCGAGTGAGAAAAAAAGTATTTCATAAGTGTCTATTATAAACATAAAAAAAATATATTGAAACATTGAAAAATTAAAAGTAAAAATTGGTATTAATAGTAATGAAAATAGCAGGATGAGTGTGGGGGAGGGTGGCCATTCTATCTCAACTCTCCCGAACAAAAAAGTATACAGTGCCCTGGACACCACATATTTTCCATTCCTGCCTCTCAACACCTGCCAAACAACTAACAACCACTGGCTGTTCTGGCGACGGCTAAATATTCTTTAATCAACAACACAAACACAGCAACGAAAGGGTGCGCGGACCAGGAGGTCTCTTTCACAGTCGCGCCCGCGCCACCCTGTACAAGCCCTACGCGACGGGCAGCACACTGGGCCCATACAATCAGGGCACCGGGCCGTCAGGGAAGGGACGAAGCGGAGGGGCAGGTCGTCAGCGGAGACGGTTGGGTTCGAGCCGAGGCGAGGCGAGGGCGAGGCCGAGCCGGCAGCGGACGAACGACGGCCGAGTCCATCGAGAGGAGCGCGGGCAGGCGGGCGAGCCCCGACAGCCTGCACGCGATGGACCTCCCTGCACACTGCTTGCTTACGATGCCAGCAGACAACAAGAGAGCACGTAGCAGCAGCAACAGCAGCAGCCAGCCCGGCGGCAGCGTCAATTACTCCGCAACGCCGGGGCGACCGGTGGGTTCATCACCTGCCATGCCATTCCTTGCTTGGCTGGGCGAGCCGTAGCTTCGGCGCGAGTCGGCGCGCGAACATCTTCCCCGGGCCCGCCATCTCCCGGGCCGCGCGCCCCACCGGCCCCCCGCCCCCGAGGCGAAGCGTGCCGAACCTTTGCGAACGCGCCGCCATGGGCTGCGGTGCACAGGCTGCTGAGGGCCACGGCGGGTGCGGCAGCAGTGACTGCGACGGCCCGCCGGCGGAGGAGGGGGCCTGCTCGGCGAGCCGCCCCAGCGTGCGCGGCATGCTCTCGTTGCAGGTCGTCGAACGCGGACTTGGGCGCCGCCGCCGCGCCACCGGAATGGGGGAGGGGCGCGGCGGCAATCGGTGGAGACGGCAGCGGCACCGCCGGGGCCACCGCCGTGCCGGAGCGGGCGCGGCTCGGGAGCCCCAGCGGGGCGGGGAGGCGGTGCGCGAGCCCGTGCCGGTGGCGGGCGGCAGCGGCCAGCCGCCATAGCGCAGGGGCGGGGGCCGCGGCGGGGGGCGGGGACGCCCGCCTTGCCGGTGCGGCCGCGGCGGGCGACGGAACGCGCCGTCAGCGTGCGGGGCCCGAGCCCGTGCGTCACGCGCCCGCCGCCCTCGCCCAGCGCCTCCGTGGGCTGCAAGCAGCCCGCGTCCGCGTCACCGAATAATCCCGCCCCGAAAAGGGTCCGAAGAGGCCCCTTCGGCGCGGGGCCCGCGGCCGGCGGCGCGTCAAACACCCCCCCGCTGGCGGCGCGGCGCACGAGCTCGGCCGCCCGCGCCGAATAGGACAAAGGGTCTGGCGCGGCGCGGCGGCCGTCTGCTGAGGCGGCTCCCATCCCAGACGGCAGCTTGCACAGAACCACACAGGGGGAGAGGTCGCGGGGCGCCCGTCGAGCCGCCCCGGCCCCGCGCCACCGGGGGGGAGCACTCGGGAGGGGGCACGCTAACACGATAGGCCAGGGGAGAGCACGCGCTGCTCTCGCGGCACTCGACGCCTCAGCGAGCAGGGACACAACGGGTAACGCAAGAGCGAGAGGACAACGCCCGTTAACCACACCGTCGCTCACACGCAACACATGTGAATGGAAGAATATACAAGAAATGGGCAGCACACCTAAGGGAGCCGCGCCGCTGCGCCTCTCGCCCGCGGCGCGCCGACCGGCGCGTTGGAGGCCGAGCAGCGCTGGGCCGCGCCGCGCCGGCCGGGCGGTAGAGAGGCCTGCAACTCACCGGAGCCCGCGTCCGCTGCGCCGAACACCGACGAGAAGCTCTGGTCCGACACGAAGGCGCCCGCGCCGGCGGCGGGGGCCGCGCCGAAGCCTGCGCAGAGCGGGGCGCTGTCAGCCAGTCGGGCGAGACCCTTACCAGCGCTCCTCACCATTGCTCACCCATCCCGGCCTTCAACAATACCCATCACCTCCCACCCACCCCGTTTTCTTTATATCGTGCTGGGACGTAACCAACTGCTCCAAACGCTCTGTTTCGCGCAGTTCTCTTTGCTGCTAAGTAAGTCTTACGGAAATACTACTTTTCTTCAGATCTGTAAGAACACAACTGTCCTCCTCGCAAATACATTTGGTTGTACTTTAAGGGCGCGAAAGCATATATTTCCCACTCATTTCTATTCGAGTCGTAATTGTAATCATTGAAGTTTAAATTGTGATTACGTTGGCATATTACAGTTACCTAATTAATACCTACTTAATATTTTCGGCATTACAAGCATCTTTTAAAAGCTGCACTGTATTCTAGTAATAAATAATTTTATCCCCTTTACCCGAGTTTCTAAATCTACCGGCTTTCTGAAAATATTTCTGAAGGACTGAATATGATTGATAAATTGTTTACGGCCATGTCGGTTTCTCACCATTAATAATAATAATAATGGCCGATCCATAGGCAGAAATCGCTGAGGCAGTAGTGCCGTAGCGGTCTCGGATCATTAGATCGCGGGTTCCTGTCTTGCGTGCGTGCGCGTGTGCGTGTGCGTGTGCGTGCGCGTGTCAATTTCATCCCATTCCCCAGAGCTAACAACCTTAGGACAAATCAGATAAAGGAAAAGTAACGTACACCTACTCTGATAATCAAATCTGAGCCCCGGTGGTATGCGCATATCGCATGGCCCCATGATTGCCGATTCGCGAAACAAAATAAATAAAAATGTACAAGCTACGAATAGTAGCCTTTTTGGTAGCCTTCCCCAAAGCATGAATGACCGTCGGGTTGCATACACATCTAGAAAGGCGCGACAAGATTCATCTTTGTATTTTACCCAGTTTAAATCAAAGGAATAGTAATTAGAAAAAAATAGAAATAGTAAATTTTGCCAAAAGTATAGAACGCTACTACTGATTTCTAGATATAGACTAATGACTCGACAATTATTGTAGTATCGCTACAAAAAACAGCAGAATCCCAAATCGGAAAAACAATTACAAGACTGATCTCGCCCTTCGCACGCACCACGCCATACACGCACAAAATGCTGCCTCATCAGATCTGAGAGTCATTTCATGAGAACTCCAGGCCCTACACGGTCGGCAGGCACATTCCATGTTCCAGCCACTTCATTTTAGGTCACGACCGGCCGTAGGAAGTACAAGAGTGTATGGAAAGGCGTAAATTGCAAAACAATCGCGAAAATACTGAAAAAAAAAATTAATGTTACGCAAATGCATATTTAAACAGTTTTTATTCCAGGGCTCCTAGACGTTCTTTAAAATAAGAGCCCGTCTCCTTTTGACCAATTTCTCCTTTGCCCCGATAAAACTCTTTAAAATAGCTTTCGGTCTCGTATAAGGAAGATGACTGAAAAAGATTGTCGAAGGGTCATCTACAATTTCTATTCTTTTACAAACCCAGCTGTCATCAAGGGGAAATTTTTGTGCTTTCAAAATTTAACCGAACAATCCAATTCATAGAGCTTACATAATCTGCGATGGACCTACACCTATTAAGTGACCAATTTTTCTCCCAGCCGCCACAAAACCCCATATACTATTATATGTAAATCATAACCCTGTTAACACACCATCTTTCAGACTAGCTTCTTGAAAGCAATTTTCTTAATTTATCCTTTTCAGGAGACCACTTCTAGACAAGTTTTAAGGTAACAGCAAACCTTTTTTGTTAAAATTAAAATTGGTGACATTGTGAATGTCATTCACACAACAAGCACTGTGACCGAGTATCAATCCTCATGGAAATGGGAGGCGAAGAGAATTGTGTAACACTACCCTGTGGCCATTGATACCGGGTCATGGTCACTGGGTACCACAGCAGCTCGCTCCATTTTAGTTTCATTTCTTCTAAAGAGACACTGGATATGATGGTAATCTAACTTTTTGGTTTAATTCTTCAAATTAAAAGCCTCCCTTACCTTACTTTTCTAGGAAAAGCTCTGGTACAAGAGAATTGTAATGTCAGGGTTATCAACTTGCCCCCTAAGAAGTATTTATGTTCAGAATGTGTGCCAAGTGATCTCAGAAAATCCGCTGCTTGATTTGTTTTAATCAAGTGAATGAGTGCAAGAAAAGTTTTGGGGTGTGTCATTCATATCCAAAATAATTTATTGGGTCTGCACAAGGAAATAGAGATTTATTACCAGTACAGTATCGAGTCTGAAAACTATTTACATTTTTATTTCTAACTAAGAGAAGGTGTGCATAGTATTTTAAAAGGTAGTAAATATACCTGGAAAGTCATTTACTTCAATTTAAATCAAAAGGGGAAAATAAAACTATCATTTTCCCCCAAAAAATTTAAGTACCTATACTAAAAGCACTTAAATATGTGATTTGATGAAAGTGCACACTTTCCAAAATAAGGTACAATGTCTAGTAATCATAGTTCATTTCTTTGTAAAAATTAACATTCTTCCTATGAAATAACCACTTTTTTCATGAAACAAACAATGGTCCCTTAATTCAGATTTAACCATTTGCCAAACTTGCGCAAGATGGCTGAAATCTTAGCAATGTTTGGATGCAGAGTACTGCCTTAACGACAAGTTTATGGTATGAGAAAAGCAAGGAGTGAGCTGGTGGGACAGTAGAAATGAGGAGGGTTAAAAGGGAAGTTGCAAGTTACAATATCATTTTGGGCATCTGTAGTTGAGAATTAAAGAAGATAATTCGGTAACCAACATAAACACTTATTGGTTAACTTTCCCATTAAATTCATTATGAATTAATTTAAAAGAAACTAGCTATTTTTTTAACAAAAATATGTGTATATGATTGATTGTGTTTTGTTTGCAGCAGCTCTAAAACAATATAATTAAATTATTTTCTACCAACACATTATTTTCTTCTTTGAATTACCTTCATATTTTCTTCAACAGAGCTAAAATCAGTATTCAATGCATTGAAGTACCTAGCATACTGGCAACCAGACTGTCTTTTGGGTAGGGAAGTGACAAAAGTGTGAACTGTGTTGGTAGTCCATGACAGGGTCACATTCTTATTTGAAAGGCACAACTACCTCGGAAGGTTTTTTGTGGAAAAACTTACGCAAAATTTTGCATGAACACTTGAAACTTGACTGCAGAGGAATAATCTGCAGGGAGTCACCAACATGACAAACTCAAGGGCATAATATTTACAATTCAAATATTTGTGATTTTATAATCATCTTTTCTTTAATTTTCACTTTATAATAAAAAAACCTAATTCATTACTCTAATACTGTTATTGTCCTTGTAAAACAAATTTATCCATTAAACTAATATTTAAGGTCCCTTTTCAAGCACCGCACAATATTCTCTATTTTGATTTGTTCATTCACAAAGAAGACCCTTGTCCTTCATTAAAAAAAGTGACCATAAAGAAATAATAATGATAAAAAAATTGATAATATACCTTACAAAATATTAACAAGACAAAAAAATGCCATGGACAGAATTTGTTCAATATGTATTCAGTGTTAGAGAAGGGCATGCTACTGATTGCATCACTAGATATCTAAATCCTGCTCAGACAAGTTTCCTTAGGCAGCCATCTGTGTGTGCAAGATTTTTGGCAAGATTCTTGCAGAAACACATAATCCACAGTAATCTCAATACTCCCTTGCATTTTTGGCTCCCCTGCAAGATTTATTCATCACAAATTGGAAGTAATTGTAATTAACCACATATCTTCATAACAATTACTTCCAATTTGAGATGATTTGTGTTCCTAAACTTTTTGGTCGAGTGAAATTACTGTCCTTAAATAATTAGGAGATAGGGAACAACCATTGCAATTAGCTGTGACTAAAAACTAGGATGACAAACTGCAAATCACAAGAGGAATGTAAGGGGCCAACACAGCACCAATCAGTGAAAATTTAGTACTGCAGAAACCTTTTGGACAAGTAGTGACACAAATACTCCACCACAGCATGCTTGCTACGTAATTTGCTATCAGCATTTTATGACCCATCACTGTCACATGGCTTTTACACCTGAATGTTCGAAACAAATTTGATAGCCATGATGTTTTCTGAACATTGTGAGACCCCACTGGGAACTGAACCTGAGACAACATTTTCATATATAGCAAGCACTGGACTACATAGATCTCACAATCAATTAATGTAATTGGAAGAAAAAAAAGCAATCAATCAATAATATACGACAATATACATTTGAAACACCTTTACTAAAACAATGCTATTTAAAAATTCTATTGTTTTTCGATAACTATTGTATCTATACAATGTTTCATTAAGCAGCTCTAGACAATTAAAAAAGCAAATTTTTGAAATTTGAAGGTGGGAAGTTCACATACCATTTGACAGCCACATGTCTTGAGCAGGTGCAGGAGCAGCCACCGGGGGTGCAGGTGCTACTGCCCCACCACCAAACATGTCTGCAAAGGGGTTGCCACTCAGCTGAAGGAGGTCATCCGATGCCTTGGTTGCCTGCAAATTGGGTAGCATTGTAGTTGCACAGAAACTTCAACAACATGAACTCAACAAATTCAATGAACTTCAAGGAAATGAATGAATGATTCCCCATTAACAACTATTTCTTCATCTATAATGGTCATTAAGTACAGTATATTCAACCAAAAATGTATAAAAATTGATAATAAGGAATGTGATTGACAGGAATGCAGAAGGTAGCCTTCCCCCACCCACCCACCCTATCACAAGAAAGATTCACGGCCATCAATAATATCAAATTCACACTGATGTATGCATGATATTGTTGGTATTATATAGTGAAATTGGTTTTATTCTTGCAAATTTTATTCATTTTAATGAGCTGCTTTCTTGAGTTTCAAATCCCGTGACGTTGGATTAATAGCACAAACGGAAGTATGTTCGTAGTAACGGATATTTTTAGAACTTATGATAAGAAACCGTTTATTTAACAGTCCCAGCTCCAAATGATAACAGTAAAATAATTCTGTTTCAAAGAAATTCAACAATTCTTAAGCAAATTACCTACCATTAAAATAGGCATTACCTGCATGCTATCCAGCCCTGCATTTGTTGGAGAACCAAATAAATCCACAATGGGCTGTGACTGAGAAACTGGTGCTCCTCCACTAGTAGGCGAGCTGAGGAATGGATTCGTACTTGAAGCAGTTGGCGATGATACTTTAGCCTGAAAGTAAAATCAATACCTCTATAATAAAAGAAAATATTGTCTTAAGATGCTCCTTTTTATATTACAATATATTAAATATGACTTCAATCAAATTACCATATTATTTGTTCCCCCCCTCAATTGAGAGAATTCTACAACTAAAAATTTAAACATTTTTGGAATTCATTACATTTGATTTTTTTTGTTTCACAATAGGGATGTGACATCAACACGAAAACATCAATGTTCAAAGTTTAAAAACCTACATTAATAATACATTGCTAAAAAAGATTCATGCTTTAAAAATTGATTTAGTAACTATCTGTTTTAGGGTTTTTGTGAGAAAGGAGTTTGTTTATTACCTTATATTTGATACGTAACAGACAAAATGTAAAAATAATTAAACAATAATTCTTACCAACAATCAAACTAGCCTGAAACCTGAGCAATTAGGGTCATCAAGGGATTGGAGCTTGCATTCCACATAGAATGTTATGGAAACGAGGAGGAGAGGCCCTATTCCTACAGTGTATGCAATATCTGCCTTTTTATGTGTGAAATCATGGTATAGAAAATACTAATTCTGATAATTAATTGATTGATTTATTAAATGATGATTGCCAGCAAGTCAACTGCTATGGCCATTAGTTCTGATGGTGTAACGAAAGTTTTATTCTAGGAGGTGGCAGTTTTCCCTCAAGTCTGTTTGCAAGTGATTTCCCACCCCAGGAATCTCCCCCAGTGGGGCACGCCACAGCTGGGTCAAGCTCTAAGCTCCTGTATGGTCTCCCAATGTGTGGTAATGTGGAGCTTGTAAGTGCAAGCGAGTGAGAAAAAATTTAGGAGGAGAGGACAAGGAAGCACAAAGAAATACAATACAAGGCCCATGGCCCTTTTGTTTGGGTACTGCTTTGACATCCACCTGTTAATCACAAGAGAAACCAAGGAAAACTGCAATGTGAGCAGCTGGTCACTAGAATTCTTCTCCAGGCAGCAACTGAATTCGACCTGTCTCTGTATCTTATATCAAAAATCCACCACTGACGAGACAAGAATCCTAGACCACCTCAGAGTCACTGGAGTCAAAAGAGCAAAGCTTACTTAGAACTTAACTCAGCCAGTAAATGCCAAGACATCAGGCAAGAAATGTTCTGATCAATGGAAGTAGTACTAACAGATTTACTTTCTTCAAACACATTCACTGACCTCAATTACTTAACATTTAAAGCAGTGTTTGCCAACTGGAGGAGAAATGACCTCAGAATACTGTTCCCTTCCGAGAAGTCTCTCGGAGAAATGGTGCGAGCAAAGGGGGAGGAAGGAACCGAAGGAGGGATCGAGAGCCTTTGCAGTGGGTCATTGCCAGTGTTCTAGGCAACATACGTGTAAGAGCCCAGACGTTTCATTTCATAGATACAGTAACAATGGCAAAGTGACAATTTCTGAGACTGACAGATAGCCTACAATTATTAGATGTGTAAATGATTTTGCAGTTAGAAGATTATGGCAAAGGTATAGAAAACAACAAAAATTTACATTCAAAAAAAGAGTTCATAAAATAATCAAGCCTAGAGTCCAAATTCTCCCAAATGACCCCTCTTCAAGTACCTATTTGAATCTATTTGTTAACAATTATTGGTTTGGGAAGAACCAAAATCATTATATAACATAACATTGTATCATCTATTATTGTACTAGAATGTTGAAACTGTCTTCTCCAAAAAAGTTACATATTAGAAGAATGGAAGAATGGAATTACAGTACTGGTCACGATAAACAGAGTTGGATATTACTTTGAGCGATGTAATAATCTGTTTTTATAATCTTTTTTTATTTTTCATAGTTTTATTAAATCGTAAACATTTAAATAACAACCACCATTTAAAAACTCAATTATTGAGAGAAAACCTTTTCCCCCCTCTTTTGTATCATCATTGGAACACTGTATGCCCACCACTTCATCAAGAACTACCTTTGCTCTGCAGCTCCATTTAGAGCAGTAAAGAAGATTTTTGTGATGTCACCCAGCATTGAGCCGGCAAGCACTGAATTAAAACTTTACAAAACAATTTTGATTATGGGACTTCTCATTCACAGACAAAACGTAAAGCATGTAAAATCATATCAAAACATTGTGTTAAAAATTATCAGCTCTAATACATTGAAGTTTAAAACATTAGTGTTTCAGTACAGACTATGTTTTAAAAACTTGGACAATGTCACATCCCTATTTCAAAATTAATTATTTATCATTAAAAGTACATGTGAAAATATCTGATGCTTAGAACACACACCCACTCACAAACACCCATACACAAAAAGCAAGCATCTGCACATAGGTACTAGGGTATGTGTGCATTCTCAGAGCTCGCTTTTGGGTACAATTCAAGAATATTTTCAAACAAACAATATTTTGAAATAAAAACATGTGTCAAAAATTACGACTTTAAGGCTTTGACACTCAAATTATAATTAGCATAACACCAAGAACATTTGAGATCTTGATAATTCATAAAAATACACGATTTAAAAACATTTCAAGTTTGTAACTAGTGGGGCTCTTTCAACATCCCAAACATTTTAATTATGTCATTGGAGATATTACAAAATCATCATTTGAACGAAATCAAACTGGTTGGGTACACCTTACCTTATACTGATTCATAGCCGCTTCTTCCTCAGCTAAGGCTTGTTGCTTGAGAGACTCGTCTATTCCATTTGAACCAGTATGTGAGTCAAGGCGCGTGTTGTTGGCTGCTGTGCCGAACGCCGTGCTGGTGGAAGATAGGGCGGACACGCCGGACTTAACATTGGTGCGGTTGCTGCTCACAGACAGTCCGACGGGCGTGGCGGAGCAGGCAAGGGGAGAAAAAGGCGGGAAGGGTGGAGAAAGAAGAGAGAGAAAGGAAACCAAACGAAAAGAGAGAGAAAACAAAAACAAAATATAAATAAACTGGTAACAACAACAACATACATAGCACTGTCTACAATAACTACAATGAGGCCAATTAAATAAAAACTACTAAAAAGTATGTGGAACGTAACAGTGATTTCTGAGGTGTCATGCTGTGAAAATGATTTGTCATACTTCGAGTACATCAGGCTAGGTGAAAGATGCTGATAGAAATGAGAAATAAGTTGATATTTATGTGGCACTGAAGAATGAGATGTGCAACTTATTCTCAAAAGAATTTGAAGAAGTTTCATGGGCAGTGAACACGTAAGCACAGCAAGATGACTCAGAATATTATGTAGGGCACAAATGTGAGTGTAGGTGACAGTGGCTGAGATACAGGGAATGGCCCATTATCAAAGCCAATACCAATAAGTGACATGCAGTGGATATTGGGCTGTGACGTCCACACCCTCATCTAACTATATGACTGGAATGATGTAATGCTATCCAAAGTCACTAATGTGACTAATATCAACGCATTTTTTGTTTTGTTTTTTTGAGTAAGTGGAACTGATGATTGTTTGGCAAAGTTGTGACACTGATTTAAGCTTCAAATAAAATTTTAAAATAATAACTTGCTCAACAGCAGGGGATCATAACAACAAAAGAAGCACAATGAGCTCTTTGTTTTCAAGATCTGTTTACTAGTATTTTACACATTACAAATAATATCTAAAAATTAAAACAGTTAGTGCATTCTCACAATTCCCAGTGTTCCAAATTATATTAACAATACTGTACATCACAGGTATTTATTCTAGCTAATTCACATGTACTGCCTACAGCTACAGATTTGTTTGTTAGCTGCCTACAGAGGTGTCAATGTAATACTACCACTGTGATATTTGCTATATTTTTCTATCACATTTAATCTAAACTACAAATCTTTTCTAACAAATTTGGATTTTTTGAGGCCTAACAGTGATTGCTTTATCTCTGTTGAAAGCTACAGCTTTGCTTTCTTCATCTGATAATGTTTATGGTAATCGCACATTCTTAAAAACTAAAACTGATGGCAAGAGTGGTAGTGAAGTTGTGTAACATGGAAAAGGAAGAGAGAAAGAATATTTTCCACAACTACCTTTTCTGTCTTCTCTTTGGAAATACACTAGATTTCCAACATTTAATTTCCAAATTTCAAAAAAATATTTTTTAATAATTCCTTAAATAGTTACTAAATTTTAAGCAGCAGTTCAGGAATAATAATTTTTAAAAAAGTCAATTTATGACAAACAGCTATTTAGAGGCATGTAAATTTGTCCATTTACTCTACAAGTAAAAAACCCATTAATTTTGAATTCAGAAACATTAATGAGTTTCAAAGAACTCTCATTACAAACAAGATGAAAATAGAAGAAAACTATATATCAACAGAATATATTAAGGTGAAAATTATCATTACAAAATAAATATTATCAGATTCATGAAAGCAAGACGTGACCGTAAGTACTTCTACCAATAAAATATTAGCAACCTCTCTGAAGTGGTTTTTGTAATGAGAAACTGCAGAGCAAAACGCAGTGAACAAAACAGTACCAATGTTGCTGGCATGCAAAATAATTTTAAAGTAATTGATAAAACATGACAAACAAACTCTTGCTGTTGCGTTTAAGAGAAGGAGAACAGAAAAGGGTTCTGTCTCTTCACACACCACGCCAAAGGAACATTCTGAGATATTGCATGGTCAGATCAACATATTAGGTTTTCAAAACACTGCAGACACAACCAACTGACATCAAGTACAGTTATATACAAGTGTTCCCACTAAACAATAAAAATTCCCCAGATTTGTAGCCACGGGTCCTTGTAGGTCCTACAGGCCAATGAACACAACCTGTGCAGTAAAATGTTCACAAGCATTAAGTCCGAAAAGTACCACGAGAAAAACAGAATAATTTCAAACATTGTAAAACAGTTTAAATATTATCAGGATATGTAATTTTTTCCAGAAAAAAAATTTCGAAAATTAATTATTACAAGTACAACCTTAGTTTTTGAGTGTACAAAATATTTTAGTACAGTGAACTTTTCTTCTCCGCAATAAAACATGGATATTATTTGTTTTTATAAATATAGCTACTGATATATGCTCTCCTTATATTAAGTAAATAGCCTGCACTTGCCTTGTCTCTTGCATTTAATTAAAATTTTGCACTAATCCAGCAATTTCAATTCCCAAATTTGTTCTTTAAACAATGCACTAGTCTTAAACAGGATATAAATAAAGATTAAGATGACAAATAGTTAACTTCAATCTTTTTTAGATTTTTATTTCATTCTCATTAAACATTAAAAAATAAAACTAGAAAAACTGCAAATTGTTCTTATTTTGCAGTCATGTGGGTAATAATACCAGAAACTAAAAATCTTTGCAAAGTTTTGCACTGCAGCAGTGAAATTGTCCAAATCATATTTAAAGTTCAATACAGGAGGAATCAACAATTCTTTGCATGAAACAAAAACCTCTTGCAGCAACTACTAATTATTTTGTAGGTCATAACCAGATTTCAAAACTAATTTCTAAATTGTTTGTAATACAAAATTACTATCATGACAAACCTAACTTGTAAATAAATTTATGTTTCTGACAGCTTTGCAAAAGATATGCAAAAACATAAATGCTAGAAAATGTGACATACTAGTACAGTAAACACACTAGTTGCGCTCTGCAATTGGAAAGTTTTATTACCATTTCCAAAATCTTAAAATGTACAAAATCTTCATTTACCTGACAATCAGGCACAGTTAACACAAACAGCTTGCCATAATATTGTAGGATAAATGAAGTGATCATAATTGAGAAACTGAGTCTGAAAACAAGCAAGTAGGAAACAAAACAAGCTAGTCATCAAATTTACCCGATTTCAACTAATCTAATCTGAATATTTTTAATCTACTAGCTAATACCTTTCCCTTCGTAACACTAACATGAGAACACTTTATGGAAATAGCTGAAAAGAGGCAATGAAGAATTCCAAAATATGAAATTTTTGCAATTCGAAACAATATAAAACTTAAGCAAACAAAAATGAATATATTTAACTAACTGTTTTTGCACGTGTTATTATATTTATTAATTACAGGGAATATCTAATAATTTCATGAAATGGACAATTCCACAGGCAGAGCTTAGAAAATGTGTATGAACTACAGAAAACTACAGTCCGTGTCACCAATGGAACTGAAATTAACAGGCGCAATGCAGACTGAATAAGTCAAACTGGCAGAGAGCACTTTCAAAAATCAGTATTCTTGTGGATGTCTCTTTTCTCACTTTTGCTCAAAATTAACATACCTTGCTGTTTGTGTAGGAGTATTTGCTGCTGAACCCTTCTTGCCTTCAAGTGATGCAAGATGTTGTTCAAGTGCATCCAGCAAACTGCTAGGAGCCTGAAAGACATTTTATTATACGTTACAAGAGCAATTCTCTCTAACATTTATGTGAAATACATAGGGTACATACAATTGTATATCCAGTAAGTTACTTCAAGCAAATGTTGTAAGAAAACAAATTCACATAATGCAAAAGAAAAAATAGCCTTTATCTCGAGTAGTATTTGCAGGGACAATGCTGCAAATAAGATCTACATAATTTCCTGGACCCCAAGTTTGTGCGGTAAAATTTGAGAAAATGAACTAGACACAGTAAATTTTTTTAAACCAGAACCTGTACAAGCCTAATATTGGCAACTGCATAGTGAAGGAAAAGGGCTTCAACTGTTATCCAAGAAATCTACCTTAGGTTCGCTTGTCTCAACGCTTAGGCCGTAGGGGAATTTCCTTTCTCCAGAGATTATAGGTTTAAGAGTTTCAGAACTAGTTTAACAATGGTTTAATATTACAATTTTTCAACATCAGAAAACTTCGTAAGTGGGAGTTTGTAAGTGGAAAAAACAAAAACTGTAGATGAAAGTTGGAAAAAAAAAATAATATTTTGTGTACAAGTTGGGAAGTTCTCTCTTAATTGTCAAAAATGTTTAATATTGATTTATTGGTGACTTCTTCTATAAGTATGTTACATGTTAATATATTTTTAAAATTATAATAAAGCCATATAATTAACTAGTTTCAGAATGGAAATATGAATATAACAAGTGTGATAATGTGGACAACCCTACATAAAAACTGAAACCTCCCCAAACCAAAATTGTTTTTTGTCCTGATCGATTCCAGTTTAGACAAAATTTACTGTACAGAAGTTTTGTTTGTTTGTTTGTTTGTTTGTTTGTTTTATTACATTTTATTACTAATGGCTAATGGCAGAGGGATTTAATTATCCCTGGCCATGACACGTGCTAGGGAAATACAACGTTGATTGGGAAAAAGCTATAGAAACTTGATTGTCACACTGTCAGGATTAATTAATTCCACATTAGTAAAATAAATTTCCAAAAAATTATAAAGAAAGTCATAGTACAAAATTATTTTGTTAAAACAAATAAGTGACAAGAGGATAAAAAATAATAAAATACAACGAACATGGAAGGACAACCCTTAAGACATCACCATGCTGTAAATAAATTAACATCTATGTATAATAACAATTTCAAACCCACAAAGCTAACCAACATTTCCTGAAGAAGGACCAGACATCTAAGGCCAAAATGTTTTGCACCATTTAATATGTTCTCAATATTTTAAATCCTTTTATAAAAAGGAATATAAGTCTGTATTAACAATTGGATGATTATTTTGTAATTGATGGCACCAAGGTCTGCCTTCCCCCCAAGACAGCGGATTGGAAAAATGCCCATGCATGCAGGCTGGTTGCGCACACACACACACACACACGCATGCAATTTCTGGGAACATAGTGGATCTATTCTTTGAAACACACACACTTAGCTTCTGAGAATGTACCCACTCTAAACGACTATAAAAAATACCAAAGGAACTAAATTAGATTCCCTAATGTGACCTAGCAACCAGTCTGAACAGTCCATATTTCACCTGGTAGCCCCTTTCAGGTCTCACTAAAGTCACTTCATGTAGCTCTACAGGACTGCAGTTAGAACCTACTATTTATACTAAGTAAATTTTGAAATGGAAAATTTAGCAATAAAGAAATTGAATAATGTTTTACGATTCATAACAATGAATTATTATATTAGTAATGGAGTTTGGTTTCATGTCATCATTTTTGACCCCCTAGTTATTACATAATTTTCTATCACAATACAATACTTTCCAATATTAGTTCTGAATTTACTCACAAATTGTGTATCAATTTTAAATTAAAAATCTAAATTAATAAATAGGATTGTGTGTACTTATAATATACCTTAGTTAGGTCAGGGATGTCTCCTTTATCAATGCCAACATTCTGAAAAAGAAAATAAATAAATGAATCAGCAAGATGAGATTTGGTCGTCTAGTAATATTAATTATAAAATTTATTGAATGAATCTCCATAAAAATGAATTCCAATTGAAAAAAGTTTTCAAAGTAATTTTTAATCAGATCTTTTTACTGTAACAACTAACAACTGTTGCAGTTTTCTGTAAAAAATATTTTCTTCATAGTTTTAAAACTAGAGGTTCAACATGCATTCATGATAATGAAAGAATACAGTTAGTATTTTTAGTTCCAGATAGGGCACAAACCTCTGCTACTTTGAGAAATTCTGCAACTCTGTCCATGCGAATCAAAAATTTCTTGTATAAGTCCAGTGCATCACGGCATTGCTTTTTGTTCATGTCAAAGTATTTCTCTGAAGAAGTAAACATTGATACATTAGAGGGCATAAAAGAAAAAAACAACATAAGAAATAAAACAAATACAAGATTTGCAATAATTCATTGCACATTATATAAAATGAGCTATATTACAAAGTTTTCAAAAAATAGAATAACATTAATGTGATTATTTTCATTCTTACCCAAGAGATTGATTATACCATCATTGTAACACGCAAAGAGACGAATGAGATCACGGAAGAGTAACATGAAAGCCATGTTTATGACTCCATTTGTAAGGTCATTGGCTGTACAATCAAATTCTAACAATGCATCCAGCTGAGCTTGCAGAACTGGCAATGTCTTCAGGAGTTTTTCTGCATTCATTGTTCGAAGAGTACCATCTTCTTTCCTGGAAAAAGGGCAACTTTGTTCAAATTACTGGCATTTTAACCAAAGAATATCAACATTTTCATTTTCCATAGTAAATAATGTAACTTGAAAATTTTAAGAAATTTTAAACACAAAGTAAGAAACCAAGGTTCATACACAAGTTAATTAAAAACCTTTCCGGGAAAACATATTTTAATTTCTTGGAAAGAAACACATATAGACTTCTAAAACTACCTATCTAATATACTACTAAAACTTAACAATGAAGAAGAAATGATTCTGAACTGCTGCCCTGTCAAACAGACTAGATTGAATTAATTATATTTAAGAGTTAAAAAATCTACATTAAATAGTTTCTTTTTTAAATAGATAAATCACAAAAAAATTTTTGAAGTGTACACAACACATTATCTTAACGATAAGTAAGGCACATGTTTGATGTTACCGATTATATCAAAGGAACTATGTGATAACAGCCTCCCCCCCCCCATTTTTGAACACTCCAAACCAATATCAACACCATTTTGGTATCATAAAATAAATAATGAAAAGCACAATGAATGCAAATGAAAAGTTGTTAAAGAAACTTTCCAAGTGTCTCATCATTGTAACCTAATTTTAACTTCACCGAAAGAGTTATCATAACAAATCAAATGTACACAGTCTTCACATGCAAGTTAAAGAACCAATACTTACCCACGCTTCACTTTGCAAAAATCAAACGCTACTGTCCTATAGGACAGAGCCTTTTCATTCAAGTACTTTGCATATCGACGAATAAATGGAGACATGTCATACCCTGCAACAGACCCACCGCCCGACGCTGTCACTATAACACAAAACAACCAGGTTAGGCTCCACACATGAGGTCATGGCTGCATATACAATGCCAGATGTAAGGCAGGCCCAAGACACGAATTGTATGGGAAAAGCTGTATTGCAGAAATATTCCGCAAAATTAGATTTGACCTTAAAACTTAATATTATCCACATTCTGCATCCCAGGTTCAACACTGCCTTAATCCAGAATTGAATTAAATGAAATTTTTTAATTATATAATATATTTTTGAAGTATTTTTTGCTTTTTATAAATCAAAAAATCACATTTCAGATTCACTTCAACAAGAGAGAACCTTTTGGTATATTAGCAATTGCAAAATCTTTCTTAAATTAAATAAGAATACTTTTCACTGTGCCCTGGTAAATCATGAACAATCTACTAAGAGATTTCCACAACCATGAAATTTAATAATTTCAGAATCCTGATCACATGAAATTAATGAAGATTTTTTTTGTCTATGTGAAACTTCTAAAATTTTAGATTTGTTTACGTTAAGACAAATGATAACAAATTTTTTCTTGCAGAACACACAAATACAATTTTATAAAATTTATGACATTTGAATACTTCATAAAAATTAATTCGAGACCTGAATATAAATGGAAAATACAAACTTTAACATGGATATCATCATCATCATCAACACCATTTTCAATTCCAAATTAGTTACTTAGTGAAAGAGCATGTTGAGAAAGTCAAGGAATATCGCAAATTATATAATTTTTGAACTAGCTAAATTTCACACAACATTGAAATATTTTGGAATTTTCTTATTAATTCCTTAACACGGTAGTAATGAAATTGTGTTTTTATTTATTCTTCCTTTTTTTCCTTGCAGGCTAACAGTGTTAATGGTATTGGCAATTATGAAACAAGACAAAATTTTATAGAAAATACATTCATAAATTTTAACTACTTAAACAAATATTATTTCAGAATTCTGTTTTTAAAAAAAATTGCACAAATTTTTAATTGTTTTTTTTAACAAATCAAAAAAATTACACAAGTTTCTGAAGCGTTATCTCTTGCCCAGTAACACTCATTATATTACTTCATTAACTTTTAATTCTCAGGAAATAAAATTCTTTATTCATAGTCATTGTTTTAGTACTTCTGTATGAAACAATCAAATTATCAAATTGCTGTAGAAACAGATTGAATGTTACTGTGAAAATGTGTAGGAGCTGTTTTCTGATCAGCTAATGGCTGGTGCCTAACAAGGTAAGCAAGATCTGAAATGTGATTTAGATTATTAGGTAAAAGTGAACATTTAATATTGAAGACAGATTAGCTTCCAACAAATTAATTTTATGAAAAAGACAAATCAGAAAGAAGAAAAAGGAAGTACAATGCAATGATGCGATTTTATCCTAGAAAATGCCACCATTTCCTCACTCAAATTCTAACTGCTAAATTCAAATGGAGGAAGAGAAACGTAGTTTCATTATGAAATAAAAGCTCATCTCCTTATTACGCATTGACATTCACATTGCAAAATCTACAGTAAAAAGATAATATTAGAAGATACTTCAATAAATAATTTCTATTGACATATATACGGCCTTAAAAGTTTAAATATACTTGATAAGGATTACTTATTGTATTCTTCCCACCCTCTGCCTCCTCCTGTCAATATAATGTATCCGAAATAACCCCAATTGATTTTAAGGCAAAAAATATAGAACATTATCACATAATTCTTGAAAAAGTTTTCTTCTATTTATGTACGGACAAAAACTTTTATAAATTTTAAAGAAAAGTTAAAGGAGTTAATAACGTAACAAAGATTAAATCATTTCATTGTACACATATCTCTAGCTTTTATGCTAAGAAGGTCCTTTTCTAAACATTAACATTTAAACACAAAAATTATACCATGGGAAAAGAAATCCTCAATGCTTTTCTAGATGAACTTGAAATTGTTAGTACAGAAATTTACCCAGTTTGGAGTTTGAATGATTTTATAACAAAAATCAAACTAAAACACTATGCCCTACATTTCTTTAACTTACAGTTAATAAAACATAAATAAATATAAATTAAAACATTAATAGATATTGTATGATTATGTACATATCCTTACTTATCATACATGGCTTATGCTCTACTAGAGGTATCCAGCAGGGGTTGTTCGGTACTAATATGGCTTTTTCTCCCCCTTCCACCCCCCGCTTCATCGCCACCCCCTCTCTCTCTCTCCGTCCGTCCGTCTGTCCGTTAGTTCCACTGTGTGTGTGTCTCTCTTCTCTCTGTCGTTAGTGCACTGTGTCTGTGTGTCTCTCTCTCTGTGCCCGTTAGCCCACTTGTGTGTGTCTCTCTCTCTCTCGTGTCCGTTAGCCACTGTGTGTGTGTCTCTCTCTCTCTGTCCGGTTAGCCACCTGTGTGTGTGTCTGTCTCTCTCTCTTCTCTCTGGTCCGTTAGCCACTGTGTTGTGTCTCTCTCTCTGTCCGTTAGTCACTGTGTGTGTGTGTGTTGTGTGTGTGTTGTGTCCTCTCTCCTCTTTCTCTCTCATTACACATTTAGCTGCCAGATTTTGGCACATCTCTGATCAGTGTGGGGTAATATGAGAAGCGCGGGACCAGCAAAGAATGTAATAGAATGTTCACGGAAGATCTCATCATGTGTATTACGTTTCCATAAAGCGCTTTCTTATCGTCTTGTTTTTAATGCCCCTAGAACCGTTTCGTCTACAGCAGTTATTTCACGGACAATTATTTTTAAAAATTCCTACCGAGTGTGGATACTGGCTGTCGACGTGAGCCGCGTCCCAGTCGATCGAGCTGTTTTCGGGCCTTATGTTGTGGCATCCTTTAGAGTGTATAGCGCGATCGACAGATTCCGGCCCGCGGAAGCATACGAATACATCTATTGCAGGGTGTTACGGTTGCATTTTTTCATGACTTTTTTGTTTTGTTCTTACAGCGACAGGTTAGTGATTTTTTTTTCGATGTTTCAATTGTTATTCTGCTATTCGGGCGGAGACGAGTCCAACGGAAATAGAGATAATTAAAATTGGTCCAGCCGTTCTTGAGATAAAATGCTGATTAACTAAACCCACTTTGTTTTAACATAAACTGTTGTGTGCTTACAAAAAAAATATTATTAATATTACTAATTTACTATTATTAATTACTGTTTACTATTAGTATAATATATCATTATATTATTATTAACACATCATTCACTGTTTTCAGGAATGTTCTTTTTTCTAATGGTGCATTTTTAGCAGGAACGATGGGCCCCAATAACTTAGAAACTACACTTGATACCCACAATAACAAACATATTAAAATAAAACTCAATAATTCCACATACAATAACCGAACAGCTCATGAAAAAAGAAATCATGCACAAACTATCATTCTCATCCAAACAGTATATGAGAATTTTAATTTGGCTGATAAAAGAAGTCAACCAGATAATCACAAAAATCCCTGATTGACAAGAGAAGAAAGACGACTATGACAAGAGAGATATTAAAATAGAAGAGAATGTATTTCACTTTCGCACTCTTAATTTTTATCTACTCGCATACACCTCTCCTACCTCACCGCCTCCAACCACTCTGCCACTTCAATAGCAAAATGCAAATTCTAACTTCACGAGCTAAATGACAATTCATAAAAAATAAACAACCCAACATAATGACCATCATGCTAAATCACCATTCAACCATGTTTGCACCAAAAAAATTTATAAATTTCTCTCATTAATTACACACCAGAAATATTCCACAAGAGACATTACCACTAATAATAGAAATTAACATCTGGAACACCCAAAACAGTTATTGACAAATGCACACATCACATAGACATAAAAATAACCAAAATAATCAGAGACAGTCTGAAAGTCTCACGATAAGCATTAAATAAGCAGATGTAAGCCCGACCACTCACTAATCCAATTTTGCCAGATTCTACAGACTATTGGTTAAAACAAATGAAAACACAAAAGAACAAACCTACATCCTACACGCCATAAAATTAGCCAACCACCTCAACAACTAGACCATTAACAAGCTGCCACGAGACGAGATCCACACATATGGCCCTAACTTTCCGACCCAACCAACACCCCAATGATGCGCCCAGGCCACCTTCCTACTCCACACTACATGCCTAAAACTACCATGACCCCAATTGTGGCGGCCCAAACCAATCAAACACACAATCAATGCACACTCACATGCCGTACTTGTTACTTATAATCGCTAAATATACGCTAATGAGCGCCCACTCGCCCTCACCACTAACATGTCCTCGACCACCCTTGCCTCCATGAGTAGAAGACTAAGTCCAAAAAATCCAAAAAAATATATCCAGTGCCCTCGCTCACCTCTCTCACCATGCTTTACCAGCCCTAATATACTAAGACCACATAAATAGAAAAAAATTTCAGAAACATATAAATAAAAATGCTCCGTCAAATATACCAAAAACATCTTGGAAAAATACTATCCGCATGTCGTCCAAACCTACCTCTCAAATAAACGCCACATTCCAAAAGACTGCAAACCACAAAAATAATGTTCAAAAACCTGACTCCGCTTAGAAAGAAAATAAATTTTTACTAAAAATAGCACCAAAATAAAGACAACACATACCGCGAGCATTCACCAAAACACAAAGAAAACCAATATCAGTCACATTAAAGCAAATATACAACAATGCCACAACAGCAAAAGAAACGTAAGGATAAAAGAACCAAATAAAAAGGTTACTATTTTGCTGAAAACAATCACAAGATGAAGGTTTGAAGCTCTAAAAATTGAGAAATTTTACATAAAGTAAGCAGCAATTGATTAAGAGTCAGTCCAAGAGCAAAAAAACACAACACAGATGGAAAACATTCAGATTGAAGTACATATATAAGCGAGAGACAGATCTACAACACATCCCTATTAACTACAAAAAACCAATATGCAAAAACTACTACTATTACAAGAGACAACCACAAAATATATATATAACCTATAAAATATTAAATTTAACACAAGGACCCCACCCACCACAAAGAACTACCAATCCCGTGATACAAACCACTGACTACTGGACTAAAAAGAGCAACAAACCTAAATTCCAATATTTCAAAGACTAAAATGCCAAAATTCCTGAAATCCACTCCTCCGCACATACCTAGTACCCTTGGCAATACATACAAAAACAAATACCAAGAGCCAAAAACAAAAACACATGAGACAAAAGAGCTTGAGACAAATAAACCGTAACACCCATGTGGCCACTTTGCTAACCGAAAAAATAGCTACCAAAAAAAAAACGAAGACAACAAAAGATAATCACGCAACTACCACACAAAAGCCACTACTGCGAAGAACAAGAACCGGCTTTCGGCACCACTCCTATCATACCCCTGAGCACACCATCATCCCTGAGCGCCACTGTAAAACAAGTCACAAAACAAGGAAGACCCGAAATGGATAACAAATATAATTCGCAAAATAAGACAAAGAGCTGCTGTCTTCGATATCAGGACACTTAGCCAACTTGGACAATAACTCACCCAGTGATGCCAACTCAAATTACATGATATTAAAGACACTTGAGACATATGTTTACACGGAATTTGGAATACATTAGCCCTCAATCTCAGCCAGGAAGAAAGAATCCAATACAACTGCAACGAACCCC